TCCAGATGGGGATATATATGTGGTCCTGCACTGCCTCACTTTGCCTACATTCAAACCATTCTCCCAGTGCTTCTTGTTCCTCATTCCCTTATATTTTCCTTCCTTCTCATATTCGCCTGTGGATGTCATTGGTCTGTTTATTGCCATTGATGTTTCATGTACTCTTTATCCTTCTCCATATCTCCTCCTTTTTCTGGATCGTTTTTCCTCCCTAATACTTTGGCAATTCATTAGGATAATTCTTCCATTTAGCCGCTTTCCCTTCCTTCTGTTGCTCACCTTTATCCTCGTCCTGACTCAGATAGACTTCTATGTCCTGTACATGCTCTTCTCTGTTATATTGCTTGCATGGCTTCCTTCTGTGGTGTCTGTTCCTGCATCTTTCTTCCTTGGCAACCATCCTGTATTTATCTTCTTTCTCCTTCCTCCTTCACCAATTGGGTTTGGCTTTTCATTCGATTGGCTTCTTCTTCTTTATTGTCTTCCGTATTTTGTTCCTAGTGTCTTCTCATCCAATTCGACAGCTTATCTTTTCATTAACTCTTAATCTTCATTGTCCTTTGGAGGTACTTCTTCAATCAGCCATGTGGACTACCCATGGTAAGTTTGTCTCTCACTGTTTGCATCGATTCACGGTCTTCTTCCTCTTTGGGTTATCTTCTGCCTGTAGCCATTCTAGAATATCAGATTTCAGTGAGACTTTGACTGGGTAAGTTTTTCGTCTTATTTTTTCCTTTTTAGGGGCCCTTTCCTCATTTGTTAATTCTCATTGTTTGGATCCCGCTATGTGGGGAATAGCGCCTGACCAGTTATTCTTTAACTGTTCAACTTCGCACTATCAAGCTATGTCAACTTGCATATTATAAATTCCATGGCCGTGCAACGCACACTGCAGAGATGGGGTGTTCCACAAGATTGCTTGTAAGTTTATCCATGCAATAAAATTGCTTCATAAGTTTGCCTGTCCCGCATCACACCCACCCATAGACTCCATAGGTAAGGCAGAAGAGGAGAGCTGCGTATCCCTGCCATGCCATGTATTGAATAAATCAGTATGGTCTGCTTTTAAAAATATGGTATTTGTTGTCACCCATTGCACTGTCTCAGGTGTTGTCATTTCTTTCGGACTCTCCACTGTACTTTCCCCTCTTTTTCTTCTAGTGGAGTTTGAGAGTCCTTACCACTTTCTAGTTTCAAGCTGCTGGGGTGGTGAAGCATCGAGACATGCTTCTGAATGGTATAATGATATATAAAAAAATAGAAATGATTAAAAACTATTCAGTTGAGAGTATGGTGGTGGTGTTCTGCTGACATAGATGACATGATATCCTCCAGTATGAAACATAAAAACAAATGGGAGTGAGACATCAAAATTGCAGTTCAACCCTTTGATTGGAATCCCTCATGTGGATGTTGATTCCAGTGACTGGGTTTTGGATTTAGAGTAGAACCAATCAACATAAGTCCTCACACATATATTACAGATGTTTATATTCCGTCAGTGTTGTGGGTCATGGTGGAGGTTATAATTTTCTTACACTGAAAATGTATTTCTGATAGATACTTACCTCCCTCACACTTCCAACCGTTCCTCCCCACTGAAAACCAGTGCTTCCATCTTCTGCCAAAACTCGAAGTGATAGTTTGGTAGAATTGAATATAGGGAGTCACATGCGTCAGAAGAGTATATTGCTACTGCATTGTGATTTGCATGAGACTCATTGGAATCAATTAGTTCCAATGGAGGAGAGGTAGAAGGCTTGTGGCATGCGCAATTTATTTGGACCTAGAGGGCAACACTGAACGAGAATAGCTATGTATGCGACAGGAAGTAAGTACCTGTCAGAAATACATTTCAATGTAGGAAAATTATAACTTCTGGGGTCTACATATTATGCATTTGGCACTCATAATTGGTGCAGTGGCTACAGAGTGGGAAATCTTAGACTTTTTGTTCTATTTTCATGTTATGTTTAAACATACTCCAACTAGACAAGAGGACTTCACAAAGCTTACAAAATCAACGGTTTTGCACTAAAATACTGACTGCAGATGGTTGGAAAATGTTCCCCTCATTGAGAAAGCTTTACAAGTAAGGAACATATGCAAATGTATGTATGCAGATGCTGTAAGACCAAAAACCTTTTGAATCCAAGCATAAAGTCTTTTGAAACTGTGAGACTTGCCATTCAAGATCCATTGGTGAAATGTAAGCTTCATTTCTTTCTATCAGTTAAAAAACAGGTGACACCATTTCTTACAAAATATCAAGTTGAACAACCAATGATGCCATTTCTACGCATAAATCTATTAGTATTAAAGAGCCTTATTGAATGTATTGTGAAGAAAGAGCACATAAAGACAATGAAAGTGGCACTTATGAATCTTGATTTAGATATTACTGAAAGATTATAACAAAGTGTGTGGGTGTCGGTTTTCCTTCTGAGAATTTATTGAGATCCTAGCTTGAAGAAAAAGATTAGTGACAGATATGATAAGGAGTTTGGAATGGAAGCCAGGGATATGTTGATGAAGACAATATCCAAACTACAAGAGAAGTGCCCACTGAAATATAGAAAGGCCATATCCAAACAGAAAAATAATTAATTCATAGTTTCAGTGTTAGAGTAAACATAAACCAAGATGTGTAGTAATCGTACTGTACCTTTCCAACATGCCCAAAGTCATGCTCACTGTCTAGCAGACCGTAGATTGAAATCTGTTTGTTTGTTTTTGAATTTCGCGCAAAGCTACACGAGGGCTATCTGCGCTAGCCGTTCCTAATTTAGCATTGTAAGACTAGAGGGAAGGCAGCTAGTCATCACCACCTACCGCCAACTCTTGGGCTACTCTTTTCTCAACGAATAGTGGGATTGACCGTCACATTATAACGCCCCCACGGCTGAAAGGGCAAACATGTTTGGTGTACGGGGATTCGAACCCGCGACCCTCAGATTGCGAGTCGAGCGCTCTAACCACCTGGCCATGCCGGGCCCAGATTGAAACCTTTGGTCATTCAATACTATTAATGTCAGTCTAAAGTAAAATACCTTTTCCTCTACTACCAGCTAGATTACTTTTATCTATGTAGTACTCTCATGTTCAATGATTCACCTGTGAGTAATCAGGTAGGAGCTCCAGAAAAACAGGAGGCTCACTTGCAACTGTTTTGTGAAGCAAGTTCTGAGTTCTATTAGTGTTGACAGCGTTTGAAGCAAAAAGAAAAGATTGGACAAAGGTTAAGCACAGTGACACAATCTCTGTTCACACACACAATCAAGGTCGAAAGGCAAATGTATCTGAATAATGTTTCCAGTGGAGCGCTCTTAGTCGGTTTCAATTAAAGCAAATCAATAGCCTTAAATCATTCTCAAATTGTCCCAGCACGAGATAACATGGCATTATATATAACAAACAACACTAACATTTTTCTTGGGTGCGGGTGCTCCCCACGGGTCACTCTCACTTCAAAATATGGGATGTGTCGTCCCCGGGGCATCACCTGTCTTGCCAGTTTAAAAGATCATTGTCTATTTCTATACTGTATGTTTTATGTTAAAGGAATGTTTCTCACAAGAAAGTATGTGACACACAAATTGACTGACTTTTAAAATATTTGTTTGTTTGAAGTTAAGCACAAAGCTACGCGATGGGTTATCTGTGTTCTGCCCACCACGGGTATCGAAACTAGGTTTTTAGCGTTGTAAGTATGCAGAAATACCGCTGTGCCACTGGGGGGGGCAGACTTATAAAAGTAAAACATATTAATATCATAAAACAAAAGGAAGCACAAAACAAGGCTCTTTTTAAAAGACATGAAAAATTCAAACTTCTTTTCATGAGTTTGAAAATATCAAAGGAATTAAACCTTTTAATATTACATATAAAACTCAATATAAACAAAACATTCGAAAGTAGAAACCATTTATAAAAACAGGCAACTAAACGGTGAAATGGATCAAATAGTAAAGAAGTGTGGATAAGACTGCGAACTATGGTTTCTATAAATGTAACAAAAATAAACCAATCACCACTAACCTCGATCTTCTGGCCGCTAATGATGTAATGGTATAAGTAATAGAGAAGAGTTTAGTACAACTTGCATTAAAAGCTTGAACAACTGTAATGGAAAAGTAGGGAAGGGCAGTCAATAAACTACAGTAATTCGTTATTCATGAACCACTTTATGAAGTTAAAGTGTAGACGCGAAATTTTCGAAAAGTAGCGACATTCTGTGAAACTTTAAAGTAGTAATAGCCTAATAAGTAGTACCAAAAAGAAATATGTTGATATATCCAAAAACAAGAGGGAATCCCCAATACACGCGACACTGGAAATAATTTTAGGCAGAATTAGAGTAAATTAATCTATGAAACCTTTTATCCCTTTTTATTAGCTATAGTTTTGTTCGCCAGCCCGATTCAATTTTATTACTCATCAAGATCTCTACTAACCTACCCTCCAATTGAAATTCTTGTAGACAGGATATAAAGTAAATTAATCTGTGCGACCTTAGGCATGGTCAAATACATCAATCGAAAGGGTTTGACCTCCTGAGTCCATATAATTATACCTCAAATCGGTGAAGAGATGACAGATCTATGAGCTAAAAGTTTGTACTTAAAAAAAAAATCTCGGAAACATTCTATGAGCTGCTATGTCGCGCCTAAAATTTTAATGACGTTGATGTTCAAAATAAAGTCAGATAGGTAAACTTGACCACTTTGAGTAGCCAGCTTAACCAGTAAGGCCAGTTTTTAAATATACTAACACATTACATTAAAGAAAATTTTAAATGATTCTGAAAAAGTTGAAACGACAGAGAAACTGACCATTTTCTGTAGCCAGCTTGAATATGGCCACTTTATTTGTAAACTAACTAGATATATATATGTAACAAAGAAACTAATTTCTAAATGATTCAGAAAGAATTGGAAATTCAAAGAAGTTATGAGTGAGAAAAAAATATCAGCCAGAGGTAACCTTGACCATTTTCTTACCACATTCTTAAAGTTTCGCAAATCTTCGATCATCCTTCGAATCTCTTTAATGTCATGACCTAAGATGGTAACAAAATGATAACATGTAATAAGGAAGCACGTACTGATAAACTGGAAATTCAGATAAACTTAAGCTTTTATTTCAAGACCACCTGATTTTTCAAGAGTAAAAGGTCTTAAATAGAATCACATAGATACAAGTATGTTAGGATGTACGTAGACCGTCGTGTATAGCAAGTTTGTTAGAATGTATGTACATGGGCATCAAAAGGGGAAGCAATTGACCCCCACCTGGATTGTCGATTTTATGTTTTCTAGTTTGTTAGTACATATGTAAACCGTGGTGTTGACACTAATTTGTTAGGAAGTATATAGAGTGTAGACCGTCACATAAACATTAGTTTAAGATTTGGTATATTGTAGACCGTTGTGTGAGTACTAGTTAGGATGTATGGATGTATGCAGACGGTTGTGTAAACACTAGTCTATTGAGATGTATATAGCGTGTAGACCGTTGTGTATTAACTAGTTTCTAAGGGTGTGTGAAGAGTGTAGAACTTCATGTAAACATTAATTGGTGATGTAGTGTATGTAGATCGTCTTGTAAACACTAGTTTGTTAGGATGTATGTAGAGTATGGAGGTTCAGAGAGGCCAGGGCCACTTTTATCTTTTGAGGCCTCTACCTGTAAGAAAAAATGACGACACATGAAAACAATATAACACAATCATTAGACCAAAAGAAAAGTGAAACATAATTTGAATATTTTTTTTTATTTAACATATATTTATTAACATTATTTAACGCAAACTGAGGTACCCGTTCTTTTTCTGGGTTATGAATATAAAAATATGTGGGGGTGGATACTATGATAAATAACACAAAAATCCTTACTTCCACACAACTTATTTATAACATAACATATTATTACAACATTCATTATTACCTCACCAAAAGTTTTGCATAAGCTTGAAGAATTTAATATGTATATATTTAAAACATAGTATACACTGTGCGACGGTTAATTTGACTTTGTAGGAAGAGGTAGCGACAGAAGTAGTAATGGTAAGGGTGCTTCCTGTTATCCGGTTTCAACACCCAGCTCTTACTATCCTTTCACAGTGTTTCACGTTATTAATGAATAGACGGCTGTTGGCCGCGGAAGTGTCTTACTGGCCGAAGTTGAAAGGTCACGGTCAAAGTAGGAAGTGAGTATAACTCAAGAAACGGCTCTGCATATTAGATTTATGATAGCTGTTGGAATAGAAATTTCAGATGAGTTTATGTAGTATTACACTAGTGGTAGTTATATTTTTTCATTGCATTCTTCATAAAGAGTGCTAGCACACATTCTGAGATATATAACACCTTTGTGTGTCCTTCCCCTCACACTGTGTGCATATTATTTATTGAATATTTAATTTTTGTTTTTGGTGTAAGGACGTCGTGCCATCTATGAATGTAGTTAACGTAAGTCAAAGATAAATGCTCAATAACAGTAATAATGGGGGTGGAGGGGGTTGTGAACCCACCATTAACATGCCACTTGTTTCAGACTATCCTCCCATAAAGTTTGGTTGAGATTAGCTTAGCGACATAGGAGTAGTTAGATAAGGGACAAACAGACAGACAAATTTTGTGCTCTATATATATAGATTTAATAAATGCTTTTCTATCCTTTGTCTGTGTATAAAAAGTCCCAAAACTTTCCAAATGCAAAAAAAAAAATGTCTAAATTTGAGACCCCTTTGAGTTTGAGGCCCGGATCAAATAACACTGAAATTGTTGATGAAAGACTTTTAAGTTTTATCAATAAAAAGACTATTGTAAAGAGTACTGAAAACCAAAAGTGTATATTGTTATATCTTCAAAGCTTTTAATCATCTGTCTCTTTACATGAAAGGATTGATATCGTTTCTTTCTTTAATAATGGTAGAAATACAGCAAACAACTTGTACATAAAAAAACTGCAATGTCTTTAGTCGTAGCTTTTTGGCATTAATGTGTATATAAAAGTCTTATAGAACTGCAAAGTGGTTCTGTAGGATATTTTGTACAATGGTTTCAACGTGTTTACTATATATCATTATACAAAGGTTTGGCAGGTAGTTAGTGCATATGCCTCGCAATCTGAAGGTCGCAGGTTCGAATCTCCGTTGCCGAATATGTTCGCCCTTTCAGCCGTGGGGGTGTTGTTATATTATAGTCAATCCCACTATTCGTTGGTAAAAAAAAGGCGTTGGCGGGGGTGAGGTGTTGACTAGTTACCTTCCCTCTAGTCTGTCACTGTTAATTAAGGACAGCTGGCGCAGATATCCCTCGTGTAACTTTGCGCGAAATTCAAAACAAACCCAAAAGTTTTAGTGTTTTTCAAGTAAACTTTAGTTCTCATTATACAATTGGAACATAAAAATATTAACACTTCTTCATTATCTGTAAAATTTATGGTAATTCTAACGCTGTGTTGTTATCTGTAACGTTTGTGGTGAATATTCGGACTTTATTCCAGGTTCAGGAGCGAAAAGCTGATTCTCAACTATTAGTGTGATAATATTATTGACTGTCATTTAGACAGTGTCTGATCTGGCACTGATGTTGTGGCTACGTTTTACAAATGAACCATCGGTGACATTCTTTTTAAAAAAGTGTCTGATCAGGGACTGGTAGTGTGGCTTTATTTTACAAATGAACCATCGGTGACATTCATTTAAAAAAAAGTGTCTGATCAGGGACTGGTAGTGTGGCTTTGTTTTACAAGTGGACTACTGTGATTTTCACTTAGACTGTATGATCAAGGATTGGCAATGTAGCTACGTTTTACTAAAGAACTATCATAACTTTAATTTAGACAGTGTTTGATCTGGAACTGGCAGTGTAGCTACATTTTACAGTAGTTGTATTATTAACATTCTAAACTAATTTATAATAACATTCTTCACTACAGTGCTAATACTAAAAACTAAAAGTAGTTTGTTACTCTTTTTTTTTCTCCTTCTCTGGCATAATGGCGGAAACTGTCCATATCTCCTGACTCCATTGTGTCTACACTAAACGTTCTCTTGGCCTGATAGTTGCTTTTAACCCTGCAAAACAGAGAAAAGTAGAAATTAACAAACTCATCACACCTGAACCACGAAAATTAGCAACAAGATTTCTTATCTTCCCAGCTTGTACTAAAGTACCAGTAATATAGAACAAAAATAAATACCTTAACAGTTGCTTTTCGTATGAAGGCATCCTTAGTGGAAGCAAAAATACTTGCTATCTCGAAACATGAAAAACACGTTTAGCGAGAAAATTCGGGATCCAGTCTGGATTTAATTCTAAGAGACGTTTCTGAACAGCGGAAAGCTTAATCTAACGTTTAACATTGTATGATTAGCTAAAACCGCCTCGTTTCTGCTTGTCTGTGTTGTTTATTAAGCCACAGAGCCAGAGGAAATACACTTCAACCATGTATAAAGTGTGGGTCATACCCCCCCCCCACCCCACACACACACACAACCAGACCTGTGGTGGAAAGTGTGCATATTAGCTGTCGATAACTGTGGTAGACACTTGAGTACTTGTTATGACACAGCTTAAACATGAACATGTTGTATTATGTATAGCATCATTTTCCTATATTAGGGGTTCGCTATGGCCCAATGGAGAAAGGTTTGTTATGTTCATTCTATATTCGTTTTCCTTTGTGGGTGTATGTTATAGGCCACTGGAGAAGGGTTTGATTTGTTTTCCTTTGTGGGTTTACATTATGACGTATTCTGTATATAAGTACCCTTTGCCTACCTTTCTCGAGCGTGGACCTCTAATACAGCCTTCATTTCTGGATACTCCACTAATGCCTATGTGAGAAGAGAGTTGAGTTGGTGATATATCCAACAAAACATTTGCATGATTCTAGATGATATATTTACGTTTATTGGTCTATGGTAATTACCTTCTCGCAGATATATGATAGATTCGTTTTTCTATGAATGTAAAATTAGATACTAAAATGGATAGCTTGGATTTTTAAGGAACTCTTTCCTATTCTTAGAAGTGATCTGAAACTTACTCCCATCAGGTCTTTTCTGGATAAACACAGCAGCTCCGAGTATCCTACTGAACGGATATCCGCAGTGCGCCTGCATAGAAAGAAAATGTCGAAAGTTTTTGAGAGTTTGTGAATAATGCGACTAAAAAAATTAAAATGTGCCCATCATTCCACTAGTATGACAAAAGCAATACTGTCCAAGTAACACTACACGTGTTGTTACGCTAAAGGAATAAATTATTTTTCACGTATACTTATCAAAGGTTCATACGTATAAATGTTAAAGTAATTACTATAGAGGTTGAGTAAGTTATATTAAAACGATTATGGATCCTCACCACGTCACTGTAGTCCATGTCCGACAACATGACAACGGCCCTAAAGCCTAGTTTCCATTGTGAAAGTCTCCATCGTTGTGCTGGCATGTCCAAAGTAAACCACATCTTCGTGTATGCTTTCCACAATCTATTCACTGACCTTGTGCTCGTGGATTCTCACCTGTTACAAGGCGCCGCACGTTGCATGTTAAAATCGTTTTAATATAACATACTCAACTCTATGTATATATTTTCCATTTCACATTTCATATTATTAACACGTAACTCATGACAAAAATTTTTCAATGTTTGGTACAACAATACTTCACCAAAGAAAGAGGTATGAAGATCACTAGTTTGTGTAACATTACATCAAAATAAGAATCATACTAAATCTTTCTTAACTGGCCCTACAGGGATTCTATAACAAGAGTATAATAGCATCCATACTGCACACCCTATGGTATTGTGCAATAGGCCTTGTTAGCACTAGCCTACACACCAGACGTTTCTTCTTGCTAGAAACTCGTAGTATAGGATAGGTGAAGAAAGTTTTACTTGTCTTATCGTGATGTAATGTCACAAAGACAGCTGATTTAAAGATTATGCTTCACTGATATAAAGCGTTAGAAACCATAATAATAGCTGAAATTAAACATTTAAGTGATAAAATCTCAGGACTGGGACTTGAACCAGGCACCTCTGGATAACGGAGACCGCTTATACTCTTGAGTAGATCAGTGGTAAGTTGTTGTTGTTTGTAATTAAGTACAAAGCTACACAATGGGCTATCTGTGTTCTGCTCACCACAGGTATCTAAACCTGGTTTCTAACGTTGTAAGTCCAAAGACGTGCCACTGGGGGGGGGGGTGGTCCAGTGGTAAGAGCACTAGCCTTGTTAGCCAGAGGTCCTGGGTTTAAGTCTCGGTCCTTGGGTCTTTTTTTTTCACTTATTACTTTTTTCCTTAAGTATTTAATATTGATTATTACGATATAATAATATTACTACTTCATAGTTTTCTTACACAATAATAAAATTGTTAGATGTATAAAATTCTCAAGTTAAACATTATTTTATTTTTTTTACCAGTAATATTAATTGGATTTGGTTGAAATAAATTTTGGCAATAAAATTAGAGAAAGGAAAACGACTTTTACTTTTCAGATATGAAAAAAAATAAATTCAGCCAACGTTTCGTCCTTTGCGGCTTTTCAAGGTTAGAAGTACAAGAACTCTATGGTTTGTACTATTAGTCCTGAAGAAGCCGCAATGACGAAACGTTGGCTGGAACAATATTTTTTATTATTATATGGAAAGTAAATGTCGTTTTTCTCAAATTTTGTTGCCAAGAATGTCTAAATCCTTTCAGTGTGCACTACAAGTTCTGAAAAATCACAAATATATATCATCATCAGTTCGCTATACATACACCAGTACACCCCTAATACATGGTTTATTTGTTGGCACAACTATTGGCTTTGGATTTAAAGACACAAGTAGTTAACCAGCTTACTAGGTCAATTATTACCTTCCGTAAAGTAAAGTATTCACATACCTAAATTAATTTAGATTATTATATGGTGAAGTAAAACGGACTCAAAACCACACAGATAATACGTTTACCTGCTTTGTTTACCATCTAGTCTTAACAGACTGATTTCACCGAAATAGTTTCCCGCAGAAAGCACGGCTATCACTACCGCTTCCTCAGTGACTGAACAGCCAACAAGAACCTGTGAAAGAAGAAAAGGAGATCGTGAGATAAGGGTGTAATTAACATCCAACACATGAAGATTAGGCTTCATCATATAATCTCCAAGAATTATATTAGTTAAAATAGACTGTATTAACGTCACAATGGGTTCTTAAATATTACAAAACACCTCGCAGTTTAAGAATTCATGTTACTTAAACTAGACCGTATTAACATCAGAATATGTCGTTAAAGATACATCAGAAATGAATTGTATTATCAATATTGTTTAGATAAATTAGTGGCGATGTAACAAGTTGATAACAATGTACTAGATAGTACAAGTTGAGATAACAATGTACTATCCAGTATAAGTTGAGATAACAATGTACTATCTAGTACAAGCTGAGATAACAATGTACTATCCAGTATAAGTTGAGATAACAATGTGCCAGCTAGTACAAGTTGAGATAACGATGTACCAGCTAGTACAAGTTGAGATAGCAATGTACCAGCTAGAACAAGTTGAGATAGCAATGTACCAGCTAGTACAAGTTGAGATAGCAATGTACCAGCAAGTACAAGTTGAGATAGCAATGTACCAGCTAGTACAAGTTGAGATAAGGATGTACTAACTAATACAAGTTGAGATAAAGATGTACTAGCTGGTATAAGTTGAGATAACAACGTACTAGCTGGTATAAGCTGAGATAACAATGTACTAACTAGCAGAAGCTGAGATAGTAAAGTACTAAGTAGTACAAGTTGATAGCAATGTACTAGATAGTACAAGTTGAGATAGCAATGTACCAGCTATTAAAAGTTGAGATAACAATGTACCAACTAGTACAAGTTGAGATAACAATGTACTATCCAGTATAAGTTGAGATAACAATGTGCCAGCTAGTATGAAGTATTTGTAGAATACAAATACCAAGTATATACATGTTTAAAGGTTTTCAAGTTCTCTTTATTTCTTTAACGTATAGTACGGAGAAAGCAACAGATCGCAAATGTTATAAGAAAAACGTGGACACTAGTAAACCACAATACCAAATAAGGAAGATACGGGCTTGAAGCCCATCGCAGGAGTTAGCCCGGGACATCACAATCATGAACTCAGAGGTACAAGAATTCACAACTTTGAGATATCTCTGTATATATGAATTTTTAGTTGCATTGAAAAAGCTAACTCACCTTCTACATAATCATTTATACTTTGAGTAAATATATATATATGTGTGTATCATGAAACTGACACCAGCTTCCCTAGCGGTGACGTACAGATACTATTAATGCAGCAGAATATTATGTAAATTTATGATCACATGAAAATGTACTCTCTTAACCTACCCTGTAAATAAATACCCTGCCAAATGCTTTACTAGAGAGAGTCACGAGATAGTTGTTGATATTGGAAGGTATTGTTTGAAAAGTTTATTTATTTATTTTTTTGTTTTAATTAGGTTCTTTTTCTGATTCGGTTTTATTGATTTATTAATATTTATGATAAAGTGTTTATTAATATTGGTGTGAAGTATTGGCCAGGCATTTGTTTATTAACTGTGTTGAATATATTTCTAAGTGTTGTTATTATGACTAAATTGTGTTTTTGTTTTTGAACCTTGATTGAAACGGCGTGTTCATTTTAGACTGTTACGAGATAACATACTAACTAGTACAGGTATTCTGTATTTCATTTAGAATACCTTGTTTATGTTTAATTATAATATATTAACAAATCAAATGAAATAAATATGAGCATTGGGTGTTTCACTATTTTCAGTTTTGATTCGAATATGAACATGTAGGTGTTTCACGATAAGCTTGTGAGGGTTGATAAGATTGGAAAATAATGAGAGATTCAGGAAGTTCATATGTTCCATAAGTTACGACAGTTGAATACGTGAATTCAAATAATTGCATTGTAACGGTTTCTATTGTTGAGTGATTCTTGTGAATTGTGGGGTAATAATGCTAAAGTACAATTCACTAAACGGTAATAAAAAAAAAAAAAATAATGCCTCAATAGAGAGATTCTACTAACTCGGTCCCCTGGTGGAACAGCGTTAAGTCTATTGATTTAACAACGCTAAAATCCTCTGTTCGATTTCCCGCGGTGGACACAGCAGATGTGACTTTGTTCTAAAACAACAAATCACAAACTCATGCTTTTCCACTGCTGACATAATTTCTACACTTTCAAGAAAATTCTAGTCATTGAGCTGCACACTCGTTACATCCTCTAGCCAAAACTAAAACAAAAAGTAAGGTCGAACTAAATAAAAATATTCTGCAACTAAATTTATAAGTAAATTAGTTTCGGTGGTTTTGTGAACTGAACTAGTAATACTTTTACTAAATAATACAAAATCACCCATACAACGATAGAATACGCTACAACATATTCATTTATACAATGTTACAAAATCCTCGTGTTAGAAATAAGAGCATTTTGAGCATCACCAGTTTTATTTCGTGTTAAATGATCTACTGCTAATTTGATTAAAAATGAATTTCAACATTAGCTTTATCAGTAAAACGTATGGAGAAATCAATAAAAAATAAATATACCTTACCTCTACCTTACCATGATTGATAATGTACATTTCTCTCCCTGATTCAGCAGCATGCACAAAAATATAAACCAATCATAAAACTTATTCTATACTTCTAGTACGTTTAAAGATGCGATTTCGTTAGCAGATGTTTAGATTTGGATTTTGAAATCGGTTTAACAGTTAACTTAGTTCTGACAGTCAAATACACATTAATAAAAACAGTGAATAATGACTAAAAAAACTTTATGAAATAGTGCCTACACGTATTAGTTTATTCATAAAAAGGAAAAATTGTAAATTTAAACAAAACCTGCTGTTTAATCGTAGGCCTGCTTTAAAACTATGCAAGTCTTTCATCGGATGACTGAGCTTTTCACACGCAAAGTTTTTAAAATTTGGTAAAAAACAGCTTGTTTATTAGCTTAAAATGCAACTTAATTCGAGCAATCAATAGTTTTTATTTTTTAAATGTTAACAAATTCGACGTATTTAGCTTATCAATTTAATTATTTTCCAACTACTTATATATGTAGTTTAAACGATTTGAGTTCAGAGTGGGCAGTAAGAACTGAACAAAAAAAGGGTAACGTACACGTTACTAGAAGTTATAAATAAACAAGCGTATAACTCGTAAAAAATGACGGGGCAAGTACTACCACCCCCCACTTCATAGTATACCCTAACCTCACATTTCATAGCTAACTTAAATAAATAAATTTTGCGAAATCAGGCTTGACCAACAAAGAGGCAGAAAAGTGATGTCAAACGTCGGTAAATTCCTTTGTAAGCCAATCAAAATTAAGATCATTCATGTAATGAATTCGTGGCGTATTCATAGAATAATTATTGGTAAAAATCTGGTAAATTGACAACTTCTAATACATAGAAAACCCAGTGCGTATTGGTAATACTACGTTTCAACAATAGCTTTTATGTCATGTTGCTTAGCAACAAAAGTATAACCTAATATTGTCGTTAGTTTACGTAATGAAAGTATATAATGAAATGTATAGACAACAAAACTGGCAAAATATTTGTTGATTTCTTAATTTAGAGTCTCTGTTGATTAAAGAGGGTTTTTTATTAAAAATGTTTGTGATATAACAGAAAATATATTAATTCAGGAACGATTTACGTTTAAATCAATATTTTTACTTTTATGTTAAATTTTATGCACATGGCTCTAAGCAAGGTGATCCTACCTTACGTCTTTACTTTAGGCTTATTATACTAACACTCACTACACATATAAGTTTCACGGCACCCCTCTCCCTCAGGATCTTCTTGTAGCCCCGTTACTAAAATCGTAATGGGCAGACAGTAATCGAATTATTCTATCTGATAAACGTATTTTGGTTTTTATGACTCTTCTTCTTTTATAGAGGTCAGATAATTAATCAATATTAAAAGTTAAAAAAATAATGTTGTGTTATTAGTATAAATTTAAAATCTGATTTCTAAACGACTTAAATAAAATTTGTAATAATTAGGGTTGGCTTGGTTAATCAGGTTCACACCATAACAATTGTTGTTCATGAAAATTGATTAAATTGCTACGTATCTGCTTGTTTGATAATTTCCCGTAAAAGTTCTTTCTGAGAAACTTCAGTGATACAAGTCTTTTCTTAATTAAAACTAGTTTATTCTTTCTCGTTACAAACTTTGTACTACACTTAATTTCCACAGTCACTTTAAACTTAACTACTTTTATACACACACCCTATAATTCACAGCGATTCACACACTTTACTTACGGTGCCTACTGCTCGCTTGACTCGAATTATTTCTCTTCAAGTCTCTTAATTTTACAGGACGTACCTTCTTCCGTACTGGTCTCCATCTCGTTGGCTTCTGCTTCACGTGGGG